GTTTTGTGGGTTGTGTTTTTGTAAAACACACCTCATACACTTAAAAAAGTGTGAGGTCTCAGTGGGGTTGCTCAGCACATGAGGCCGTAAGTGACACAATGGTATGTATTTTATGGTGTGTGTAAGCAGTTAACAGAAGTTCCCGCTTACCCATGTGACTTTATGTACATTCACAGAGGTAGGGTTGTTACAGAGACAGAACAAAGTTTTGAAGTTGTAGTAGTAGAGTGGGAACTGCCTCCAGCAGTTTCTGTACATGACATGTGACTATCTCAGAAGGGAGGTTGTTACAAGGACAGCACACAAGGAGGCTTGTAGTAGTTCATAGTAGTTAGTGGGAACCACCTCTGGTGGTTTCCATACATGATGTGTGACTACCTACAAAGTAAAATGGTTGTGGGAAATCCCACAAAATATAAACAACCTTGGCCAGCACCAAAACCCCAATGGGGAAAGCTTTGCACAAGGGGGGTAGAATGGAAAAGAATATGAAGAGTAGTGGGAGAGAGAGAGAGGGAGAAGGGGAATTTGACTGAGTGGCAGATATGGTCATTGGAGAGTCAATATCTGTAACATCGCCCCCCAGTCTCCTACCAACCATAACATGGTCCCTGAGGGGCATATCTCTGTGGGGAAAGCTTTGCATGAGGGGGGGGAGTGAAGGGGGAGAGAGTGTGAAGAATAACAAAGGGAAAGGTCCTGGCAGGGCAATGGATATGGTCATTGGAGACTCTGAATCCATAACAGTCACCCTCAAGACACACTTGACTCTCCCAAAATTAAGGATCCCCCTTTGACAACAAGTAGTGCCACAGTGCTCCTGTTATGGAAATAGGATTTCTCCAATTTAGACACTTATGGGCCCTGCACACACCCAAATCACATGATATGTAAATAATTGGAATCTACAAACAATTATCATCTAAAACATCCATGCTAAATGGCATTAACACATCACCTGTGCCACCACCTGTGATAACATCTGTACAACCTTATGGACCATCTCCCCTCACCCTTCCCTCTTCCTGCACCAAGAACAGACAAAATGGGTGCCTCAGGCCCCATTTTTGTAACAGCCCCCCTTGAGTCACTGAGGCCAAGATCCTTCCATGAGTCTCCATTATCCCTTCTGGAGCTCCCCTGTCCCAATTTCTAACAGGGTGTGTGTTTCATTAAGGGGTGAATGACTGTAGTAGTCAGCCACCTTCAATGACTGTTACAAAAATGGGGCTGGAGGTGCCTGTCATGACTGACAAATCCCAGGGCTCCATCAGTGGCGAACCAATGCATCTGCTGACCTGAAACCCATCCTAACCAGCCCCCAACCTGATGTCTGGCCCCCTGTCCTATGGAGTGAGACTTGGTCAACAATCTGACCCCGGACCTTGCCAGCATTCCAACCTTACCTCCAGTTCCTGAGCCCTTGGCGCTCCTGGCATCCAGTCCCTCTAGTCCCTCTTGTCTCATCTCCATCTGAACCACACCCATCACTCCACTATGTGGTCACAGCTATGCACTGCATCCAGACCTCTGCCTGCATCCGGACTTCCATCTGCATCCGAACCTCTGCCCACATCTGTACCTCCACTCACCTGATGCTTCTGGTTGCCCTCCACACCCTGTGGTCAGGTCAACACTCCCCTCCATACCTTTGCTGGCCATCATGCTGTCCTTGTTTGTGACAGCACTGATGGATCACCCTCTGTCTGCGGACTTATCAGCACTGCGCTGATTCCTGCATCCCATTTCACAGATTTGTGTTGGTGCCGCATGCTGACCCCGCTTTTCCTTTGGCCTTTTGCCACTCAGCAGCATACATTCATTCCTTGCTGAGTGTCTATCATGTTATCCACTCATTCACTTAACTTGCCAATATCGGCGTTGATCCGCTTTTATTGACACTAGTGCAAAGGGGCTTCCCCCCTCTGAGTCCATGCTCGCAGAGTCTGCGCTCCTCCTACAGGTCCACTCCACCTGCAAGTCTTGTTTGAAGTCCGCTGTAAGTGTCAATCTGTAAATATGGGATCTCCCTGTCAGGGATGCGTCTGGGGTAGAGGAGGCCTGGGTGAGATGCCCGACACTAGAAGTCTCGCGGGGTGTGGAGCGGGCGTGCATACTGGCAGGCCCGGCTCAGGAGACAGTCCCTGGCCACTCAGACTGAAGTGGAAAAGGATGTTATTATTATTAAAAGGGAATACTATGTCACTTACCTGAAGTGGAAAAGGATGAGAAGAAGGCTACTTCTTTGGTTCCCACTTCAGGTATGTTTATATACATGCGGCTTGGGTCACATGACAGGTGCCACGTCATCCTCACATACAGCCATAGTCACCTGGGTGTCCCCATGGGGGATCCTGAGGGCATCGCTGTGAACGCTGTAGGCAGGATAATTGCCCACGCACAGCACCGGCTCGGATACCCATTTCCATGATTAGAAAACCCTTTTTATTCATGCGACGACTCGGTACGGAATTGGTATCTAAAAATAGTGCTAATTCGTACGATTCCGACGATATCAAGAACGTCTTAATCGGAGGAGATTTGACAGAGTTCTATGTTGGGCAAGTTAGGCACAGGCATGTGCAGGCGTGGGAATCTCAAGCGGCAACCCAGAATTCCAGCCTCACTCGTTTCCACGGCGTCTAATAAATCGGTAAAAATGCTTATCGGCTGCGTAATAGTTCTATTCAGCTACATTTCCAATTTCGGATCTTAATTCCATAAATCCGTTGAGAAATCGCTTATTTTCTTATATTTTCATATTTTGCCATCATTTCAGTTATTGATCAATATTCTTTTATTGATACTGTTACCTTTTTTATTACTTCACCTAATAAGGTATGCAGGTGCCATATGGTACCAATATTTCCCATCAATTATTCTAAAAATAATTGTTCCTTATATCCTGTACATACCGGATTCTGGAAAAGAAGTTCTCCCCTCCCCCAAAATTCTCTAAGGTGCTAGGACGCGCTAGAGAGGGTGTGAGTGAGTGGAATCCAACAGTAGGAATAAGGGCAACTGTCTAGCCCACAACGAGTGGGTAGTAGATCAGTTGAGCCCGGACCTTGTGGAATCCCAGAGAACCCACACGGAGTTTAAGGATCGAGAGTCGAGCAAAGTCTAGAGAGAAAGTGTTTAGGAGAGTTTGGCCCCGCAAGCTTAGTCGGCGTAGAGAGCCGCTAGCCCTCTTGCAACACGCGAGCTGGACGTAGTGGGGGTCGCCTGGGGCGCTGTTGCAGGGATAAACCCTTGCACTACAAAACAGTGCTCTTTCATTCTTTCATGTATATACATTGGTGAGTGTAGTTGGGGTAGTCCCATGACTGCACAGCCACAACTATACAGCACCGTACTACAAGGACCTTTGGTGAGATTGAGAGAGGCAGGCAGGAGATTACTGTCCCCCCTGTGAGCCTGTGTGACGTTGGGATAAATTCCCTGTTACAGCGCCTGGGCTGGTCGTGTCGTGAGCACGCTGCAGGTGGGTCAATGGTACATTGATACAAGGAAAGGTCGTCCGTGTAGAATAAAGAGAAAATAAAGAGAAAGTGAAATACATGAAGAGGAAGTGAAATGGAGAAAGAGAGAAAGAGGAAGGAGGGAGGAAGTAGGAGGAGGCTGGGTGGCGGGGTACCAGGTGAAGTGGGGCCAGGTGGGGCCGGGTCAGGGGGGTGTGCCCTGACACTCCCCCAAATGTCAAGCTCAGGGCACAGTGCTCCACTTGAGTCACTGAGGCTGCAATCCCACTCTGTTAACCTTGAACAGCGCTTCCAGATGCACCGCATATTTCTGCCTGCATATTGTCAGGGCACACCTGCCTGACCCTGCTCCGCCTGGCCCGGACCCACCCAATCCTGTCGTCCTCCACCTGGTACCTCTACCCTCCCCCTGCCCTGCTTCCTCCCTTCTCCCCTCTTTCTTCTCCTTCCTTTCTTCTTCTCTTCTTTCTTCTTTCCTTTTCCTTCTCTTCTTTCATTACATGGACGACTTTCCTTATATCAATGTACCATTGACCCAACTGCAATGTAACACGCCCGGACCCGGGTGCACCGGGTGACTTCCCATGCACCGGGCACTCCTAGGATCTCTTGCAGAGATACCCAGATGGGCGTGGCTGTGTCTGTAGATGATGTGGTGCCTCCCACGTGGCCTCAACTGCATGTATATAAACATAGCCTAAGTGGGAACTGAGAAGTAGCCTTCTTTTCACATTTCCCACTTCAGGCAAGTAGCTTATTTCCCTTTCTATTAATAACAATTCACATTTCCCACTTCAGCCTGAGTGGCCAGGGACGTCTGCCTGCATCGGGCCTGCTGCCATGCATGCCCACATCACACCCTACCAGGCCCTCAGCACCAGGCGATATACCCAGACGCTCTCAACCCCGGGTTGGTCCCTGACACATATCCACACATGTGCACTCCAACAGACTTCTGCCAACACCTCTGACCCCGACTCAGACAGAAACCCATCCATCTTCAGTCCGTCTTCTGACAGTATTCTCCAACTCTGACAGTGCCCATTTTCATCCATTCTGGCACAGGCATAGGGAATAGAATGGGGGAGGGGGTTCATATGGTTGTACAGCAGGTGTTTAGACATATTGGTGAAACAAGGGGATTTTTGGTTGTAATTGATTGGATAACATTATTTTTAGGGTTGTGCACAGGGCCCATATGGGAAATGTCCATTTCTATAACAATGACCCTTGGTAAAGTTTCCCAGATCCTGACACTCTCCACTTCTGGGGTTACATCCATAACAATTACCATAGCTACCCACTGGGTGAGTTATGAACATCATCTCTCCCCCATCACCCCAGTGTCTCCACTGAGTGCTCTATACCAACAACTGGGAAGTTCCTTCATTGCCAGGAGTAAGTTGAGTGTTTCCACCAACTTTGGACCTTGTGTCCACTTATGCATGGGCAGCCTCCATTCACTCTGGCTGGGGTATAAAGTACATGCATTCTGTAGAATGACAATTATCCATGGATGTGGATTTATGTATCATCAATTAGTCCAAAGTCCCCACTTCACACACAATTGACTGGCACAAGTACTGAGGATTCCATGTCCAGTTGCCACGAGCAACTATGCACCACTGGCCAGAACCCTGGATCTCGCTGCATGTTCCATTTACTCCCAGCAGTGTTTCCTCAGGGAAAACTAAGTTCCATGCAGTATTGCTAATCTCAACATCACTTTCACAAACATTGAACCGCATGTGTTCCCCAACTTGGAAGTGGCCATTGACACCTGTCAATACAGCAGTTGCACAACCATCTGTGGAGAAACCAATGCTCATCAAGAGCAAAACTTTTATTTTTCATTTTGGCTCACCAGTGGAATTGACTGCAGCTCCTTGAGAATAATAGGTTCCAATAGAAATTGTGCCAATAGTGAAATCAGCTGTGGAAATTGGGAGAAAAGCAATTGGGGTGAAGAAATTCCAGAATCGCATTGTGTCTGCTGTTGCAGGCAGGTAGCAAGCATGGCTTGGGTAAGTATGTGTGCCTTGGTCAGTGGTTTGGGAGGACATGCTGACCTCAGTCTTTAGTGTATGCAGCAAGGAGGAAGGAAGAGCACAATCTCAGGAGGCTATATAGGCGATTCCAGCACATTCAATGACATCTGAAAAGTAATATTCCCAGAAAATTACAACATTATGGTCATTATTGCGATCACAGCTGACAGTGTGTTTTTTCAGGGACTAAATAGCAATCTGCAACCCAAGTGCAACTGTTTCACTTGATGGGTTGCTGATTGTCTGGTTGACTCAATTGTGTGGAAAGGGCCCAAACTCTATTGATTGTAAATTGATGGCATACAACGGTGTTGTGAGAAAATGGCAGTTGAAAAGTGAAAGGGGTGTGAACCCTTTCGTAAAAATTAATGGATAGATATTTGGAATATTTATAAAAGAAGCACCTGTCAATATGCAGAATAAGCGCCATATTGCCGTTCTGTGCTCCCTGTTGATGAAATATTGATGATGACTGCAGTGCTGATGGACCCAGCTCTCTGGCACATGTCAAGCCGCTCGGCTCTGCACCACCATCACTCACTGGGAGGAAAGAATCCATGAGGAAAACATCAATCAAAAAATGCCGGCTCTGTCGACCAAGGGGACTAAAGCTCGGGCGGCGCCAGGGCGAGACTCGCGCCGATCTCGAGCCCAGGGCCGTCGACCAAGAGCGTCCAGTCACCCAAGGGCGGCTGGATTTCATTGTGTAGATCTGCACGATCTAGGACAGTTGTTTGGAATTTCCACACGGTCTACGCGCCGCAGGCTTGGTGTCCCACAAAAGACTCGCAGAGTCACACACAGAGGAAGAGTCCTCACTTTCCAATCCCCCCCTGACGAGGGCGCTGCCCTAACAGACAACCGTGCAAACATCGTGCCCCCCCAGTTACCCCGCCCCAAAAGGCATCCCCCGCAAACTCCGCACACATGACCTGGAAGACCAGACGCTCGGAGTACCGACCATCACAGACATAACCGCCATAAACAAGACGAGGGAAAGGACCAACACCCCCAACAGGGCACAAGCTGCGCAAAAGGAACACGCCACGCAAGATCAATGCCCCCCTGCCCGCCCGAAACGACAGGCACCTGTTGGAGATGCAGCGAATACTTAGGCGCTTAGAGGGGCCTTCGGCCACTATGGGTTGAAGGTGGTGCGTCCAACAATGCTTTTTCCCTCTCGCGCTTCATCGCTCAATCACCCCCACTCGCCTTGCTTGGCGACAACCCCACACCCTATATGTCTGGGCCTCAACGCCCTAATGCGAATACCGCACGCGTTGTTTGTTCCACACCCCCCCCGCCTGTGAACTTGAATCACTCTAATTGATCGCCATGACCCTTATTGACAACTTACGCACGACAGCTTATAATCTAGCCACCACCACAGCACCAACACCAGACCCCACACGCACGATGTAACCCACACCGTGCACCGAGTAAATATATTGACTGACCAACTGACCAAGCTAGAACAACGCAACCTAGCTCCTATCCAGAGCCGCAACTGAACCGAGCCACGCCAAACCCGCCAAACCACATCTACCCAAGGGGGGTCATTTTGGGAAATGCCGAACCCGAGGTTAGGGAGGGAGGGTCAGCTCGAGGGTGCAAAAACACATTTTGGAAGGTCAAAAATTTCAATTCAAATATGATATAACTAGACTACAAGGAGCGTCAATTTCACCTCCGCCATTTTATTTCCGTGCACGTTTAGTGTTGCGTTGCTCATTGTGGGATCCGCAGGTGGTATGTAAGTGCCGAGGCCTTGACACGACCTATGGTGTTTATGAGTCATGGTTGCATGTCGATACATTGGACTCACCCAAATCCGGCCTTAGTGCACTGAACCACGGTTGAGCCGTCCTCAATCTCCGCTGGTGTGACTTGGGAAGTACAACACATATGGAGCCCGGTGGATTATTCGGGGGCAAAACATATCCGACGGCCACTGGCATATGTCATGGATGCGCTGGCTACATCGGGTGTGTTCAGTATTGCGGGTGCGATAATCGGACCTCACGGGAGTGTGGGAGAAGCTGGGAGGGGGTCGCAGATTGTGTCCGGATTGCAATCGCTGTTGTTGCTGATGGCATCTGGATCAGATGGGATAGTTAGGCATGGAATTTATCGGAGGCAATCTAAGATATACTGTATGGATGGATGGATTCATTTTAGAGTACGTAACCGTGCCTATCGGCATATGCCGTACTATAGTGACTCGGGTGAAAAAAGTTTGGAGAACATAAGATGTGAAGAAAGGAATTTGTTTGACCTGGGAAGTATGAGACATCGAGTAATCAATGGTGTGAAGGAGAATAAAGTGAGATGAAGCAATAACACATAAAGGGGCATGCGACCCCTGCACTGAGATTGAACAACGGGTGAGGGAGAATGGAGGTTGGATAGAGAAAAGGACACGCGACCCCCAGTGTTGGGGTCGCATGTTTTGCTGCTGTGTGCCTATGGTTAAGTCAATGTTTGAGTGCGCGGTTCTTGCGGGTGGGTGAGTTGGAGGGTGCTTTCACGGGTTTATGTCACGGTACTAGGCTGGTGAATGTTCCAGTGGCGATGGGTGTTGGTGGCATCTTGCTCATGCTTGTTGAATAAAGGCATGTGGCAGATAGGCCTTTGGTAGAAGGGGTAGTGGAGAGAAATGAAAGTGTTGGGGTGACGGCAGGACTTGAACCTGCATTCCTTGCAGTCAACTTTTTGTTGGCATATGGGGCTATCATTGGCGCTACCACTATCGCGCCTCGTCACAAAGAAGTAGTGGAGAGAAAGATGAATCGGAAGGGTGTTGGGGTGATGGCAGGACTTGAACCTGCACTCCTCCGGCCTGCCCATGGACTTATGGAGGCTACCATTGGCACTACCACTATTGCACCTCACCATCCCAAAAGGTAGTGGAGAAGAGAAAAAGAAGGAAGGGTTGGGGTGACGGTGGGACTTGAACCCACAGTCCTCTGGCCAGTCCCATCTGGGCTTACGGAGGTCACCATTGGCGTTGCCACTATCGCGCTTGTCATCCCAAAAAGGTAGTGGTGAGAAGAAAAAGGAAGGGTTGGCTTGACAGCGGGACATGCACCCGCGCTCTTGCATCTCTCCAGCCAGTGTGGCTCTGGGCTTACGGGGTTGCGGCTGATTGGCATTACCATAGTGGCCACGTCATCCTCCCTTCAGATGTTAGAGGCCTAATTAGTTTTAAACAGGGGCACTGCATGAAGGTTTAGGCCCATGCCGGGTGTTCGCTGTGGTAGCAGAACTCCCCCTCAACTGACATCCATCGTCGAGGCCCAAGATATACTGTACCCACGCGACCAACTACCAGTCACGTGTCACGCTGGGGTGGTGGTTCAGCAGCCTATGTCACGCAAATTCCTTGCTGGCGCTTGGTGGCTATGCAAATATATTTCAAATTTCCTTTTAAAGTAACATGTATATTAGAAACGAAAAATCTCCATCTCCTCATCCAAATTGCATGCCTGCCTGACCCACTTTCCATGGCTGAGATCGCAGTTCTGGGAGCTAGAGGAAGGGAGCAAGATGATATCAGTAAGGGTGTTGGACTCAGCTTCCTCAGCACAAGTCTGGCACCCTTGTAGGCCACTGTTGTCATATCCATTCCCAGCCATCAACTTCCGGTTCCTCCGTTCCCTCCGGTCTAACTCCACTCCTCCCTCACCAACCTCGGAGCTCCCGTATTCCGCGATCCCCTCGGTACCCCTCGATGGTCACCACCCCCTCATTTCAATTTATTACCTACGCCTCCCTAAGTACGGAGCCCCGAAGACTTCCGGACAGCTCCGACGTCCGCTAGCGCACTCCTGCCTCCGCTGGGCAATACACTCGCCTGCCCTGCAGAGCCCACCTTCGGGCCTATCCCTCCTTTCCATTTCTGGGTTATCACCTGCCTTTCCGCTAACCCCGTTAGCTCCGCTCCGTTCGGCTCCGCCAATCGCGGACCCGTCTTCGCTGTAACCATATATATGTCCCACTTGTACATAGGTTACACCCCAGTAATAAAATCAACTAGAGTTACCCCCCTTCAGTTCTGATTGCCAGTCAGTAAGTTAGGGCACGGACGTGTCACTAGGCACAGCGCTCTTGGCAGAAGTCGCTGAGGCCAAAGCCCTCCGCTATGGAGACACTCCTTTGTCTCGAATCTGGTCTCTGACAACTGTCAGCTTCTTCTTCAAACCCACCAGGCACATTCCCAGCTACATGCTCAACAACCTCATGTACCATCACATCAACATCATCATACAGAGTATTTGTCAACTCTTCCCCCTGTACAGTAGAGTTGGAATCTGGGAAATGTCGCCTTCAGCATGGGGCCGCTTTCGTGGTGCTGTGATTGCTCTTGCAAGGTCGGGATTGGTCTGGTGAAGTGTATCAAGGGCTAAGTGTAGTGGGTGGCTGGTTAGGCTGGAATGGGAAAGGTTAAAATCACCTGAACAACATAGTTCAAAGGCCTACTTATGTTTCATTAGCACCGGTGCAGCAATCATAATGTCATTCCTCACTTTCTGAATTCTATCCTGCTGATTCATAACATGGAAAGCGTGAACCAAGGTTTCAGGAACACAGTCCCTTAGTACACCAAGCCTGGTGTTAAGTTTTATATCGCAAGAGAGAACCCCATTTGTAACTGAGAGTAAACCTCCCATATAGCGGCCAACTGCTGGGATCGCTTCACGGCATGTTTCAGTGGACGCTGGATGCCAACATCACAGGGCTGCCAGATGCCCATGCATCCACCAGGAACATAGTCTAGTATGATCCAAGGGTAGTTCCCATACATCCAGACATGAAACTCGAGAGACATGTGAACCGGCCATACGTCAAGTTGCCAGATACACTCTTGTAGCGGATCAAGAGACAACTGTTCCTTCTTTGCATTGAAATAAGGAACCAGTATGTGTGATACAAATGATTTCATTGTTGTAATGTTTGCCCAGTAAGTATCATTTCCAGAGAATTCGAAAATAAAGCCAAGTTGCATGGCTTCATCATAACTTGGGGCACTCATCGAAGGTAAGCTTGCTGGAGTCTTGCCACGAAAGATAGCCTGGAATGGTAGAAGAGCCCCACTGGCAGAGATAGCCACGTTAAGAGTAAACGTGCGCTTCTCATCATGGCCAACAGTAGAAACCTGACAGGATCCCTTTTGTTCATATGTGGAGGTTGAATTCTGTTGATAGATCACTTGTGTCTGATCTGAATTCACCTGGAGAGCACTGGGGATTGCATAGTGGTGGGTGGGGTGAGCTTGGCGAAGCAGTGAGCAGTAAATTTTTTCATTGGCATCAGGGGGGGTCTTTTGCGAAGCGCAAGTGGCCCGTCGCAAGCTCCAATTCATTTCTTCTTGGAGAAACTTCCGGACCCATGTCATGCTTGCAGCAAACACACTCCCATCTTCTTTCACAACGGTTCTCAGGATGTTGGGCTGGGTATGTTGGATTTGAGCAATGATGGCACCACGGATTTGGTGGGTGTCCAATGCTGCACCAGCCTGTCAGATGCCCAAAAGTGTTCGCTTGATTGCAGCAACAGTATCTGGGTAGGATGCTTACATACATATCCCAATTTCTTCCTTAAGTTTCTAGAATACCACTAACCATTCTAGACTCACCAATATCCCCCTCTTTGTAACATTTCCTCCTGGGCAATTTTCTTTTGCAACCTTCACCAGCGTGTCATTGGACCAACATGGATGTGGCCCCATGCAATCAATCCATTTACAGACAACATCGACATGCAATGAGCGAAAGAGCCCTGGGCTTCTTAATTGACATCCCTTCACTATTTCAGTAGGACTCATGTGCCAGCTGATGGTCGCTGCCACTTTGATTATAATTGTCCAGAACACAGGCTGGAACCAGTTTGTTGCCTTAGCGAACTTGTGTGCTTTTTTGACTATAAGGCTGTATGGCATTGCTTGAGTGGTGAGTGATCTTTTGGTGCTTCTGTTCCCTCAACCATTGCTGAATATGATGCTTTGGCCATGACATCTCTGCAATTGAGAGTCGCTCACTCGAAACACTGACACTTGGGTCCACATCAAGCAAGCGCTAGACATTTCCTTCCATTAGAGTTCACAGGAATTCTGCTGAATAGACTTCACCTTTTTCTTTGTGTCCTTTCTGCCTGCTGCCAACATCGCTTGGTGACGTCGCTGTCTTTCCCATGCTAATGCTCAACTTCTCTCCAACTTCAGTCTTGCTGCCAGTTGCCCTGCTGCTCTTGCTTCTTCACATCTTTCAGTGATTTTCTCAAACTCGATCGATCTTTGCTTCACAAATTCCTCATGATTTACTCTGTGGAAGAACTGCAGCAACCCATGTCTCTTGTCCCCCTTTGGCACAGTGAAGTCCAACTTCGGTTTTTTTCCCTTTGATTCCCCAACATTGGAACCAACTGAGATCCCCACCATAGCTTGGCTAGTTTCCTGATTTATGGGGTGAGCTGGTTCTGCTACCATTGTGAGTACTGTCAAGGTCTCCATTTGGATTTTCATATGGTCCAAGATCATTGGCTGCCCAGTTTCTGCTACAGGGATTGTTGCTGCAGAGGTGGCCACCAATGATGAGAACGTCATTGGCACTGGCTCAGCTATTCCTGGGTCCGACATTGTTGGTCCAGTGATCGCTGCTGAGGTTGCGACCACTGGGGCAGCTATCACTATTGCTTCTGGGGTAGTGTCAGGGACCGACCTGGGGTCGAGAGCGTCTGGGTATATTGCCCAGGGCTGAGGGCCTGGTAGGGTGCGGCGCAGGCGTGCGTAACAATGGGCCCGAAGCAGGCAAGGGTCCCTGGCCACTTAGGCTAAAGTGGGAAGTGTGTTATTATTATTAGCAGGGGAATGTGCCTAAAGTGGGAAGTGTGAGAAGAAGGTTACTTCTCAGTTCCCACTTAGGCTGTGTTTATGTACATGCGGTTGGAGGTCACGTGGAGAGCGCCACGTCATCTATGCTGAAGGAGGGAATGAAGGAAGGTCAGTTGGGAGGTTCAAATGAGACCACCACCAAGCTGTTCCCTGGTTCTTTAGTTAGGATGGGGAAGTGTACTAGTGTTATTTATTGTAAATATAGTACCAATCCGAGTGTTTTGGCTAATTCTATTTTTATGGGTTCGTTTTAAAGTTCCTGGGAATTGACTTACAGATAAACCGAGCCCTGCGGAGCTGTTTCTTTATTGAAATTTCTTAATTTGTCTAGGTGTAATTCTGTGTAGTGTTGTTTTAATTTGGATTTAATCTTCTACTTGGTGAAGTTTCAAAGATTCTAATCAGTTAATGGATTTGGATTGTGTCTGGAGTGTCCCTTGAGTTTGTTTTATTTTTGTCTTATTTTATTGCTTGTTTTAACAGTAGCAAAATAACTGTTTTGTGTTTACACTTTGAAATCTGGAGTGTTAACCAGCTCTCCTGTTGAAATATCTACTTAATATTTCTCTCCTTTATTGCTGCCTTTTACTACAGTGGCAATCTTAACTGTATATCACTTTTTCACACTGGAGTGACAACCAGAAATGCTTGAGAAAAATAATACTCTATTTTCTTACTTCTCTGAGGGGGGCGAAAAGTCGCAGAAAGGGTCTCCCTTTTATACTCCTTGGGTCGCCTTCCTTTTTCACGCTCTACCTTCTATTTACAGGATTTATTTACAGTGTATTTTTCTCAAACTGAATAAAAAATGAAATTTTCACGCTATATGTCACGGCCATGCATTCCGGCCTGTTAGCCGCCCATCCCGATGCCACCCGAGCCCATTCCCGCTATGCGAGCGCGAGCATGAGCCCCGACCTCAGCCCTATCCTCCATGAGGACTCCCTGCTCACTTCCCCGCTTGCCCCTAGGCTCCCCTGCACCTGGCTGACTCCCCCACAGCCACACCGACCTCCCTGCCCTGAGTCCGCCTCTGGCACCGACCTAGCGTGACTCTGCGACATCGCCTACTCCGCTACGATACCATCACCGCTATCGCGGC